AGAGATGCCTTTTGCACTTATAAGCAATAAGTAATGCTAGCATAAAATACTGTGGAAAGTCCAATAAAATGCTAACATCGGACTATTCGACATACTATATGTGAAATTAATTCCTTTTAGGAATTACTAGTCCGATACTAACATTTCACATTTGCATTCATGTTTAGCCAATATCATGCAACCATTTAAACAGTGGTGGTACCTATGCAGGAAATCGAGACGCTGTCATAAAATAAATTCTTGTTTCACCCGATTGCCTTGTTTGAGAGGTTGAGAATCTAAACATTGTTGACGTGTATTGAAAATGAACCCAAAGATATTCCGATCATCTATTTAAGGAGAGATTTTTTCTTTCATATTAAGAGCACCATGAGTGATTTGCTAAAAGCAACAACCAAATGCAATTGTTCATTAAAGAACTTTGAGTGTAATGACGTCGAGGCAATAAAGAATTAGGTTGATCTATTCCTCAAAATAAACAAAAAACAGGAAATTAAATACTGTTAAAGATGTTAATAATCAGTGATTTTTTTGTTTCGGTCACACTCCATGAAATATGACATGGATTTTACGTACATCACGTCAGCTTGAAACTTTTACCAAAGGTTTAGGAACTCGTCTTCCTCAAATCGTATGTTCCTGGAAGCGCTGCTTTCTGCGGTTCATCCACCTTGTTCTTTTCAGTAAATACACTTCAGTAGGCGCTGTTGATCTTTTTTCACTGCTCCGACATGACAGCCCACCACATGAATGATTTCTACCTTTACTGACTAGATCTTTCGCATTTCAGTCCTCAGTTATTCATATTTCAATACCTTTTCTCTTTAAGAACAGCATTGCTGTACGCCAAGTTTTCTATTTCAAAGATTTGCATTGCCATTTTGCTTTCTTTGCCCATGCGGCATAAGAATGATGAGCGAATCTTTATTTTTTAATTCGTATTGGGCAATTCAACGATATTTTCGCCTGTTTATAGATTCACATCAACAGCTTAGCTATCGAAGATAATTCATGATCATACATCGTTAAAAAGGTACTTTTGTATTCGCGGTGAAATGATCTAGAAATCTAGCTCAAGTTGTTAAGAGCACTTTCTGCAGTAAAACAAACATAAGACTAAGACATATAGACATCAGGCGGTGCAGAATGCTGTACTTGATATAAGTTTAGTTGCTGTCCTTCACGGGAGAAAAAAAGCCGTATAGCGGATAACATTATGAAGGAAATGTGCAAATAAGGACACAAATATGGCAATATTGAGCAGATTAAAGGAAATAGGCACACTCACAGAGAAAGATTAAGCTGCATCACTTGCTTTCCTCCATGGAATGGTCAACGGTAACTCAGATTAAGAGATTGGCAGAGTAGGTCATTTTGGGAAATATACCGTCAAACGGGCTGCTGGAGGGGGCTTGAGAAATCACAACGCATGCCGACATTCAGTGCACGTCAACTGAACGCTTGATCAACCAAAAGTATTTTTGACGAGTAACTAATTCAAATTTTTTGAAATTTAAAGATGTAGTGTTGGGATTTTCCCCATTAGATGAGTGCTCTGTATTGATTTAAGCAAGTCATTTTTCTAAATCAGATTCTAAAACTTTCAATAAAACAGCTAATTCATTTTCGCGCATTTTACCTTCTAGCTCAGAATTAATTGCCTAACTTCATTTTGTATACGTGAAACAGTCACTGCGATATCTGACCATTACACTGATCAAAAATACAGACTAAAAATCCTGCCGTTTAATAAAACGAGAAACAAGAAACAGATGGGGCGATGAGGCAAAACATGGTTAAACAACATAAACAGATGGCGTTTATAAGACTAGTAGCAATAAACTGTTAGAGCATGACAGATTTGTTTTAATGACGTTCACTTCAGTCGCTGAGTAATACTCGCAAGAGCAATCGCAAAAGCTTGCACTACGGAAAACGGTGCCTCAAAATCCAAAGAATACCTGCCATCGTCGATGCGACCGAATTGTAAAATCTAAAATTCAAAGAGATAATGACGTACAACTAACCAAATATCAAAAAACTGAGGAAAATTTACAACAATGATTAAGGCAATTTTGTCACTTGTACAAAAGACGCCGAATTTTCAAAACAGTAACATCGAACGCGCTGAAGAATTTTGTTACTTGAAGATCTTCCTTCAATTACAAGAAATTATCTTAAAGCTTGTAGGCACAGAAATATTTCTTCCAAGCCTGCAAAATCTTACAACCCAAAAGGAGCAACCAGTCATGAAAGTGGTTGCATGGATCGTCATCCTACTGTTAAAAACACTGGAATTGGATGAAATCCCAAACTTCAAGTCACCGACAGCGCTACACCGGTTTCAAAAATCTTAACCAGCTCCCCCCAAATCCCCTGTAAACTCACTGGCTAAGGGGATACAGAGAATACCATTCAGAAGGAAAACATTCCTGCGCACAAAAGCGGAAAATTTCGTTTCTGAAAAAACAGAAAATGTCAGCTTTATGCCAATATAAAAAACATACAGAAAATTATGGATCGAGAAGTAATTTCAGAAAAGAAGCGGGAGATCTCATTCAACAAAGAAGTGCAGCCAAAGCAAACATTTTACGGAAACAAATAGATGCGTCCTACGACAAATAATGCTCAACAATACCCATATGAACTCTGATGACCGTTTAAATCGAATGGTACACGCAATTCGTTCTAATGTTCTTACACTCAATGTAGTTTGAAGAACCGAAACGATCGAATAATAATGCTACAATTTCATGCCTTGAAGTCCAAAACTAAGCATGGCCTTCTCCAGTTCTGTGATTCTTCGTTCCAAAGCGTGACGCATGAAAGTTTCTGCGGTAGGTTCGACAGTTAATTTACACTGATAGAAGGTCTTCCGTTTAAAGTATATGGAGAGATTTCCAGCTAGTAACATTTTTAATTTTCAAAGTGCTGCGTCATTTTTTACTTTTTTGCAAATTTCGCAGAGTTGGTTCTTTGCTGCAGAGACTAAAATAAACTAGTTTTACGCCTCTTGAAACTACACTCCACTGATTTCAACACGTCGTGGGGTCACGCATTCGATAAACATGACATGAATCTTCTTCAGGTTGACCATTCGCGCGATCTGATGTTGGCGTCGTTCAGCTTTTGGATTGTTCCCTGCAGTCTACTGAAGACGTTTTGAGGTTCACAATGCCGCTGATAAATGGAAAATATTTAACTAGTGACCATTTACCTTCAGTCCCTGGTATTCTAAATAAATGTTCTAAAAATCTCTTCCACGGCTGC